GCAGTTTTAGGATGTAATTCTCTGTAGGTATCTAGTAAATCCCTTTGATCATGCACTTCATTTAGAGTTTGTGTTTCCTTGTTAATTTTTTGTCCAGAAGATCTATCCAGTGATATCAGCGGGGTGTTGAAGTCCCCTGCTATGATTGTATTGCTGTTGATTTCTCTTTTGAAGTCTTCCAGAACATTTTTAACGTACATTGGTGCTCCTATATTGGGTGTGTTTACAAAGGTTATATCTTCCTGTTGGATAGATCCTTTCAATATAGTGGCCTTCTTTGTCTCTAGTTATGGCCTTCATGTTGAAATCTACTTTATCAGATATGAGTATTGCTATCCCAGCTTATTTTTCCTTTCTGTTTGCTTAATGATTTTTTTCCATCCCTTCACTCTCAACCTATGTGAGTCTTTTGTTTTGAGGAGGGTCTCTTGTAAACAACATATATGCGAGTCATACTTTCTTATTCAGTCAGCTACTCTGTGTCTTTTTATCAGAATATTCAGACCATGCACATTTAAGGTGATAATTGATATGTACTTATTTATTGCCGTTTTTGTTTTGTGTGGTTCTATTTTCCTTTCTATTTCTTCTACTAATTACAGCAGTCCTTTTAGCATATCTTGCAGTGCTGGTTTGGTGTTAATATATTCCCTTAGCCTTTTTTTTTTTTTTTTGTCTGGAAAGCTCTTTATTTGACCTATTTTGAGTGATAGCTTTGCTGGATAGAGTAGTCTTGGACTGAGATCCTTGTTTTTCATGACCTTCATTACTTTATGCCACTGCCTTCTGGCCTATAGTGTTTCTGTTTTGAAGTCAGCCTTATGGGGGTTCCTTTGTAAGTAACCTATTACTTATCTCTTGCTGCCTTTAGGATTCTCTTTGTCTTTAATGTTTGGCATTTTAATTACTGTGTGTCTTGGTATGGGCCTGTTTGGGTTCTTCTTACTTGGGGCTCTCTGTGCTTCTTGAACTTGAATGCCATCTTTCTTCACCAAGGTAGGGAAGTTTTCTGTCACTATTTGTTGAAATATATTTTCTAACCCGTGCTCATTTTCTTCTTCTTTGTGGACTCCTATGATCTGAATGTTATTTTGTTTCCAGTTGTCCCACAGTTCTCTTAAGCTATCTTCCTGGTTTTTAATTGTTTTTTCCTTTTGGTTTTTTGATTGATTGATTTTTTTCTACCCTGTCTTCTAATTCACTGACTCGGTCCTCAGCTTCCTCTACTCTGCTGGTTAGTCTTTCCAATGTGTTCTTTATTTCTGCTATGTCATTCTTCATTTCCACTTCGTTGGTTTTCACTGTTTCTATATCTTTACTCATGGTTCTGATGTACGTACTCATGCTGTTGAGCTTCCTCAAGATCATGGCTCTGAACTCTACCTCTGATAATTTGCGTAGCTGCATTTCATTTAACTCATCTTCAATAGAGCTCTCTTGGTCTTTCATTTGGGATTTGTTTCTTTGTTTCACCATTTTGGCTATCTCAGTGGGTTTTGGAGCCTGAAAAATTTTCCCTTTGGGTGTTGGTGTTCTCCTGTTTGTGGCTCCTTCTGCTGGGTTTGGATGAGCCTGGGTGGGCCCATGTTAAACACCACTGTCAAGTCTTAGTTTCCTGGGTAGATTTGCAAGCCCAGGAAAGGTTCAGTTATCCTCTAGCTTTTTCCTGTTGGCCAGTAGTCTCAGTTACTCAGTGCCTTGGAATGTAGCTGTGATGTTCTGCCTAAGAGGATTTCCAGAGGGTGGGATAGATGCTGGTTTTTAATGAGCCTCAATTTTTATTTCTTTGCCTCACCTGGGAAAGGCTGAATCTCCGAGGGAGGGTGGTTGCTGCTTTTCCCCACAGCTCGTGGAAGGAGCATACTGGCACTGTCCTTCATGGCTGCAACTCAGCAAAAACTCTGAGTGCCCTCCAAATCCCAGGTTTCCCCACACAATTCCAGTCCAGTCTTCCCTCCCTCTGCCGTAGCCCCCAGGTGAGTGGCTGTGGCTATTTTAGAGCTCTGTCCTGGCTCTCTGGGCTGTGGAGCAGTCTTGGTCTTTATTCCTCAAGGGCACTGCGTACAGCTAAGACTGCTGCTGTTCGTGGGCTCCCAGCCTGCCACCCTGTTGTGCCTCTGCAGATCCTACCAGGTTCCTGGTTATATGGTCCTGTCCTACTGCTTTTCTGTTGCTTTTTTTCGAGGATTTGTCCTTATTTTAGTTGTAATTCCCGTTTGGCCCTGGGAGATTGTCTGAGTGGCTTCTATCCACTCTGCCTCCTTTTCCACATCCTCTAAGCCTATCTTGTGCGCAGCTGGGTCCCACAGGCCTTTCTGGTGCCCCCGCACCCTGCAGGTCCCGCAGGTAACTGGATTGCACAGTCCCTCTGGGTGGCACAGGCCTCTCTGGTGCTTCATCACCCAGCAGGTCCTGTGGGTAACGATTGCACAGTCCCTGCTGAGTCGTGCAGGCCTCTCTGGTGCTTGAGCACCCCACAGGCCCCGTGGGTAACTAGCACAGTTTCTGCTAGGTGGCACAGGCCTCTCTGGTGGCCCCGCACCCTGCAGTTCCTGTGGGCGGGCAGCTGGATCGCACCAGTCTTCTCTTGGACTCAGGCTTCCCACTGCTCTTGTGAGCTACTGGGCTGCACAGGCCTCTGTGGAGCCCCAGGTCCCGCTGCTGGCGGCTGGGGAGTGCTGCTGCCCTGTGGGGCTCAACTCCTGCTCAGCTTTTGCTGTAGATTTTGGGGATGCGTCTCAGCTGCTGGTCTGTGCTTCTGTTGCCTGTGAATGGATGTTTGCTCACCAGCCTCTGTTGCTGGGGGTATATCTGGACTCTGATCGGGCTGCTACTATGGGGGATGGTGCTGGGCTCCGGGCCATCCACGGCTTCCGCAACAGGCACTTAGGGAGCTCCACTACTGTGCACCAGTCTGTGTTGACACAGTGTCCACTGGTCTGATGGTGCCAGGTGTGCTGGTGGGCTCAGGTTGCTGGGCCTAGCCACTCCCAATGCCTCCTCCCAGGGAACATCCGGGATCTGCCAGAATGGTGGGACCTCCCTGTGGTGCAGGGAGAAGCACCCTGAAGGGCCACTTACCGGGGTAGCCAGCTGCTCAGTGTCTCTGCATTGCTCCGGTTTGGTCGTCCACCTTCGAGTCCACTCACACTCTCACACATACTCGTTCACTCTCTCACACACTCACCCTCTCTCAGGTCCTGCCTGCTGCCATCTTCCCCCTTGTCTCTCTACCTACCTACATATAACTTTTGACTCCCCAAAACTAGCCTGCTGTTGATAACATAAGCAGTAAATTAACATATTTTATATATGTATTATGTACTTTATTCTTACAATAAAGTAAACTAATAGAGAAAAGAAACTGTTACTAAGAAAATAAAGAAGAGAAAATACCTTTTCCTACCCTTAACTTTAGTTTTAGTTTTGTATTTTCTTGGTTATTCTTGTCACCTGTATTAGAATTTAAGTGCTAATTTTTACTTTTATAACCCATACATCTAGAAAGTGCCTGGCATAATAATAGGCATTCAAGAAATATTTGATGAATGAGTATATGGAGACCTTCCATTCCCATATCCACTTTTTTCATTAATTAGTTTATTAATTCATGCTATGGGGAAGGTTGAGTCCAATTGACACCAGGAAAAAAAAAAAAAACAGTTTGGCTCGGCCGGTGTGGCTCAGTAGTTGAGCATTGACCCATGCACCAAGAGGTTTGATTCTCAGTCAGGGCACATGCCCAAGTTGTGGGCCAAATCTCCAGTTGGGGGCATGTAGGAGGTGGCCAGTCGATGTTCTCTCTCATCGATGTTTCTATGTCTCCCCCTCTATAAAATCAGTAAAGGAAAAATAATAGTTTGAGGCTAACAGGAAGGAAGGTGGAAATAAGTAAGTAAAAATAGCCCGGCAGCCAGTGAAAAGTTACAAACACTGGAGCTGACTAGTCCTGTCAGGTAGCAAATTGTAAAGCTGTCCTCCCCTTCATAATTTCTGAAAAATCTCATCTGTCAACAGGTGTGGAACTAATATATAAATATTACTTGCTATTCATCTTTTCCTGCTCTATCTATATACTAGTTTTCTTATAGAATTGGCATATCTTGTAAATGAGCTTTCTAGATAGATAGGATTTTATTATAATATGTAAGAATCCCTTTTATCTGATACCTGTTTGGTTAATTTAAAATTTTAAATCAGGTAGAAAATTATTTTAAAAAATAACTCCCTCATTTCTTGTTTTATTTTACCTTAGAACACATAAAAGACTATGTTTTCACTGATCTTTTCATATAAAACAAGAGACAAGGAACTTGTTATATGAAGGGCTGAATTGTAAATATTTGCAGAGGCCTTAAGTTCTCTGCTACAGCTACTAACTGCCATTGTAGTGAGAACACATCATAGATGATATGTAAAGGAAGGGGCATGCTTACCAAAATTGCAGATGTTCTAGACTGGATTTGACTTGCAGACAGACCCCTACTGTAGTTTTTTATTCATAAACCACCCATAATTGGCTGCAATTTCTAGTTTGGTTTCTTTAAAGTGAAGTGAGAACTTAGACTCCCCATCAAGCAGTCTTATGGCAGACTCTTGCTGGGTTTTGGACTTTCCCCTGGTTCTTCACAGTTGTCCTGTGCAAACCTCTGTTGGGTCTTTCCAAGCATTTAACTTTTTACAGAAACACCTTTTCTATTCATAATCGTATTTCATTGGTATTTATGTATTGGCTATCAATGTATATAATTATAGTAATAAGTAAAACTTTCATAAATAAGTTTACTAATAAACACAACTTGTGAGAGTGCCGTGCAGCTGATGAGAGCTGAAGTCCACAGTCATAGTGGCCTGAAGGACAGTAGCCATTCATACTCAGTGCTGTAGGTACCATGAACCCAGCAAGTCTGGTACAGAAGAAAGCCTGTAGTGTATTTACTTTGCAAAGGGTTTTGTTTGTTTGTTTGTTTTTTAATTTTCTTTTGTCCGTCTTATTTTAGGGAACTCATAGAAATGTTGGCAATTTCAAGAAACCAAAAGTTGTTACAGTCTGGAGAGGAAAACCAGGTAAGTGTCTTTTTTAAGTTAATATTTGTATCATTTATATAATGTAGCAATGTGCTAAAAAAAAATAGTTGTCTAAGGGTTTACAGTATTATTTTCTATTACAGTTCTAATTACAGTTACACATTTATTGATTTTTATCTTTTAAATGAACCAATAAAGTCTTGTTAAATGGAGATTAAAAACAGTTTCTGCGATCAAAAAGGTCAGTGCTCTCATAAATTAGCCCTTTATTGTAGGATTGGTTTCCCCAATGCAACCTGAGTGGAAATAAAGGAGCTTACAACTGTTAATGAAGGTTACTTATTTTGTGGATGTTCAGTTTACAGGTAGTTGGTATTTTCTTTATCCTTTTTTGTGTTTCCTAATTTTCTACAGTGAACGTTGTGTTTGTTTGTTTTTTGGTTTTTGGATTTTGTTTTCTGATTCAAGACTTTTTAAAGAGTGTAAATTTTATATTATGTGTGTGGGGGTGCCACAATTAAAAGAACACTTTTTAAGAGAAAATAGGAAGAATTACCTTTTTTAAAGGTATAAGAACAATGTCTGATAGACCTCTTCTCCCCACCCTGTACCCCATCATTATCTTAATTTCATTTTATGATGTTTTGAGGGCAGAGAAATCTGATGTACTCTATATAGAAGAGCTTCAGAACTTGTTTTCTTCAAGGATTAATTCCCTCAAGAGGAGAGGGAGGAACCAGATAAGGCTACAAGTTGAAAAAAGCTGCTGACTTAAGGGATATTAGGATTGGGGTTTTATTCTTGTTGTTGTTGTTATATATATATATATATATAAAAATATATATATAAAAATTTTTTTTTTATCCTCACCCGAGGACATTTTTCTATTTTAAGTTCAGATAGAGTGGGAGAGGGAGAGAGACAGAGACAGAGACAGACATCAACATGAAAGGGACACATCGAGCAGCTGCCACCCGCACGACCCAAGGTACTTGCCCTTAGCAGGAACTGAACCTGGGTCTCTCTGGTTCGCAGGTGGACACTCTAACCACTGAGCCAAACCAGCCAAGGCAGGTTTTGTTGTTTTTATTGGTGGTTTTGTTTTCAGAAAAAGAAAGAGCGTAGAGACAAATGTGTTAATAAAAGAATCTCCAATTTTTTATTAATAAATAAATAACATGTGGGATTAATTAGGAATTTATACAAAATGAGCAGAAAGTGAAATGTGAGTTTTGATTTTATTTCCTAAGCACTCAGTAAATACTAGCTATAAACCGGGCACCTGGCTTATTCAGAAGATGATAACTAAGACCTGCATAATTAGCACTAACCTTTCTTAAACTTTTTAAGAACTAACAAGTCTTGCCCTGGCTAGCATGGCTTAGTTGGTTGGGCATCATCTCATGTACTAAAAGGTTTGCTGTTTTGATTCCTGGTCAGGGCACATGCCTGGGTTGCAGACCTGATCTCCGGTGGGAGGCATGCAGGAGGCAGCCAATCGATGTTGCACTCTCACATTGATATTTCTTCTACCTTTCTCTCTCTTTAAAAATCAATAAACTGTTCTTTGAAAAACAAAAAACTAGTGATTCTGTGAATTGTATCTTATACTTAGCACTGTGAATTCTTGTATAATTTTCATTAAAACTGTTAAATATTAGAGGGATATGCCCATTTGAAAACTTTCTAACCACCATTTTATTTGAATATTCATATTTTTATACATATAGAATTTCAGAGTTAGAAGGTTAGAATCTAGGTCTTCTGACTTCAGTTGAATAATTTTCTCTACTCAACAATAAAATCTAAAGAGAATTTTTACTACTCACTGGTAGTATACAAAATAGGTCAGACTGTGTAAACTTCTTGAAAGTTGTTATTAACCAAACTACTCACTTTGGTTAATAATGTTTTTAAATATATCTTTTATGGAAATGGAAACCTAGCTTTCTCCTCTTGAGAAAGAATGGGGATTGAGAAGAATGGGGATTAAAGGCCTATTAAATAGAAAACATTTTTTACAGAAAATGCTTTCTGTTGTTACTTAATATAAATTTTCAATACAGGATGCAGCGCAGTCTTTTGTCTATTGTATTAGAAGTCCTATAAAAATGTGAGGAACTTCATACTAAAAGGAACTTGAGCACGCATATCTGTTTTTTTTTAGTCTTTAACAGATTTTTAGTAATATTTTAAACATTGGTTCTGAATTTTTATAGCCATTTTCTTTCTGATATAGTATATCCTACTAGCATAGTAAAGTAAAGGTGTTTAGATCAGACTGCATCTTCTGTAGTTGGCAGGGGTTGGGTGATGATGATAAAGTTCAATAAGAACTTTTCTACATGTACTTAGCATATATTATATCATAAATTTTTGTAACAACTGTATGTGATAAGGCACTGTTATGCCCTTTTCCTAATGAGAAAACAGGCTCCAAGAGGTCAGGTAACTTTCCCATGTTATACTGCTAATAAATGAAAGACTAGAGATTTGAACCCAAACTTTTATTTTCTCCTTCTTAACCTTCATAGTTATTGCCAAAACTTACTTACTATTTTTTGAAATCACTCTTTTATAAATCAGCTTTATTCTAAGCAGTACTACACATGAAATCACAGATTTTATGTGACAGTTATATTTTTCTAATAGCACAAATGTATAATTCCAAAAGATTTTTAAGTTCTTTGTGCCAACTAGAATCATGTCAAGTACTAGAATTAGGGGAACCTCCAATGCATTATATTTTTAAGGATAAACTTTAAAATTTTTTTCTTCCCTGGAAAATGAATAAACTTGTTCATTTTGACATATTGCTAGTTCTGAAAGGCTAGTTCTGTTTTGTATGAAAGAATCGCATATAATTACAAAAAAGAAGAAAATCTTAATATTAGTTTGTTTTCCAATTATAAGTGGGTTATTTCTTAATTAAAAAAAATTTTTTAATCCTCACTCAATATTTTTCCATTTTTCTTCAGATAGAATGGGAAGGAGGGAGAGAGAGAGGGAGGGGGGGAGGGAGGAAGGAAGGAGGGAGGGAGGGAGCGAAGGAGAGAAGGAGAGAGACATCAAATGGCAGCCTCCTGCATAACCCTGACCAGGGCCGGGGATGAACCACAACCGAGGTATGTTTTCTTGACCGGAATAGAACCTATGACTCATTACTTTGCAGGCTGACGATCTCTAACGGCTGAGCCAAACCGGCCAGGGCAGATTATTTTTATTTTTAATAAGTATTAAAAATATTTGAAGTTGTTAAAATGTTATAACCTGAACAACTAACAGATGAATTCTTTGCTTCATTGGAATGTAGCTTTTTAATATTTTGTTGTCTTCTCTAATCAACTATTATCTGACAGGTGCTGGAGTTGTTAATTCACAGAGATGGGGAATTTCAAGAACTAATGAAATTGGCACTTAATCAGGGAAAAATCCATCATGAAATGCAAGTTTTAGAAAAAGAAGTTGAGAAGAGAGACAGTGATATTCAGCAACTACAAAAACAGCTGAAGGAAGCTGAACAAATACTGGTAAGTTGGCAGTCTGGTTCTTTAACAAGGATATTGTTTATTTAATGTATTTTTAAAAAATAAGTCTGTTATCAGTATTTTTTTTTTTTTAATTGCTTTTTAGAAAGAAAGGGAGAGGGAGGGAGAGAGAAAAAAATAAAACATCAATGTGAGAGCAAAACATTGATCTGCTGCCTCCTTCATGCCCCGCTTTGGAAATTGAGCCCACAGCCTCGGCATGTGCCCTGACTGGAAATCAAACCAGCAACCTTTTGGTGCACGGGACAATGCCCAATGAACTGAGCCACATTGGCCTAGGCTCTATTATCAGTATTTTGAGGTGGCAGAAATGTCATTTTCCAAGTCTGGAAGCGACAACTTTTTATTTTGGTCAAATGAAAGGTCATTGTCATTTTCTTTTTCTCACTTACTGTTTCAGATAGTCTGCATTACCATTGAACCACATGTTTATTATTTAAAGATTTCATAGGATTGAATTATAGAAATGGGAAACTTTACTTTTATCATGTCTTGATACAAGTATTGTTAATAGTCTAAATCTTCAGTTTTAAAAATATTTCAAAATCAGTCAAAATATGTACCAATTTTATAAATTGATTAAAAATTATATTATTTAGTCTTCCTTCCTAAACTAGGTGGGATTAGGATGGCTGTCAAGGATTCTAATTTTTATTTTTCATTTTGTTTTTGGCTACTATTTCATAGAGGCAATTTATTTACTATTATTTGCCCAGTTATTTCACTAAATACTGACTAATGTAATTGTTGTATGGTGGTATTACAGACAGCTGAGTTTGATTCTCATCTGGACCAGACATAGTTGGCATCCTTAACCCTGATAAATCTCTCCAAAATATGTCAAAATGGGCTCCAGTATATAGCAGCCTGTGCGGTTTAGGGTAAATTAACCACTCCTACTACAGAAACCCCAAGTGAACACTTCTAATAAAATCTATTTTTCATTAGGAAAGTATACTTGCTTATCAAAATGTATTCAAAAGATACAAAAACCTAGAAAGAAGAGAAAATGGCCTTTAGTTCCACTGCTCAAAGACTGCCACTGTTTACAGTTCAGTGTAGGTCCTTTCAATCTCAGGTATATTCATTTTTACCCATTGTAATTAAGAAGGTACTACCTGACTTTCTATTACTGTTTATTAAACTTTAAGCATTTTTCATATAACTATATCCAGCTTGTTTAGTTTTCTAACTTTTTGTAACAAATAATGCTTTGATGAATATCCTTTCAGAAAAGATTTTTTTCTTTTGCATTTCAAATTATATTCTTTAGATAAAGTTTTCAAAAATATAATTATTGAGTTAAAGTAAGTAACCACTGAATTTTATAATATAGGTAATAGCAACTGACATTTATTGAGCATGTGTGCACCAGGCCCTATGCTTTACATGTGACTTGCATTATCTCAGTCTTCATAGCAATGATATGAAATCAGTACCTTTTTTGCATTTTAAAGATGAAGAAACTGAAGATTTTAAAAGAATAACTAACTTGCCCAAAGAGGGTAAAAAGGAGAGATGGAATTTAAACCTAAATCTCTCTAATGCCATACTTTAGCCACTGTGTTATAGTTGAGGATGCTTCTACTAGATTAACGTCATTGGATCCATTAGTGTACCTTTGTAGGAAGTGTGTGTGGGGGGGTTCATATAGCAGTCATTAAGCATGGAGGTTATGGTAATATATAAATGAATTATGTCGAGTATCAATGTAAGAATGTATCTTGTAAATTAAAAAATGAATTTTTAGATGTTTTGTTCTTGAACTAAGTGAAAGAATAGGATGTTTTTGGAGTGGTTCATGGTCTAGGTCTCTTCTGAATGATAGAAAACATAAAGAAAATATATTGGTAAACAATCCAATTTATACATTGTTTCTAACAACTAATTTGTGAATGGAGACTAATTCATGAGTATAATATTTGTTTCATTAAATATAACCGATGTAGATGATACCAAGTGCTGTTTCAGAATATTACATATAAAATGTGCGGATTTCAAAATTGGATATTGTTCTGTAGGATAAAAGATATTGTGAATTAAGCATAAAACTGTGCTTTATATAGTTAAGAATAAACCATATTTCTCTTTCATTTTCTTTAGGCAACAGCTGTTTACCAAGCAAAAGAAAAACTGAAATCAATAGAAAAGGCAAGAAAAGGTTAGTACTATGGGAACACTGAATGACTTTCTGAAAATATCAACTCTTAGTCTCAAGAAACTGATGAGAATATTATTAGTAATCATTTGCTGCTGTCAAAAGATTCCAATAAATTTTTATTGTAAAGTGCTGGCTGTGTTTTAGCGCTTTGCCTAAGTATCACATCCTCTTTCAGGTTATAAAAAGCAATAGTATAAGGCAAGTTATGGCCATGTACCCAAACGTGCAATAAAGACAATGGCTTTAAAAAATTGTTGAGAGAAGAGAACTGTGAGCTGGAAGGGAGTGGGATTTAAATTAAATCTTGAAAGATAAGATAGAGAATGAAAGAAAACTTCCATTGAGCAACTTTAGTGGGACTAAGAACATCAGGAAGTCAGAACTAGTTGTGGCTTTGGGACATATGTATGTAGAAATCCAGCATGCCTTCCTGTTTCCTCCTGCTTCTCTCTAAAAGGCTCCCATTTGGGATCTTTTAGTTTGCATACTAAAAGTCAGAATTGTAATGAAAACTCTGGTTACTTCCTTTTAATCTACATTTAGTGATTTTAGACTTACTGTCTAACTTTCCTCCTCTTTTCGTGTTTCAAATAACTACTGTTAATATTTGGCCCTGGCTGGTTTGGCTCAGCGGTTAGAGCATCGGCCTGCGGTCCGGAGAGACCCGGGTTCGGTTCCCGCTAAGGGCATGTACTTCGGTTGCAGTTTGTCCCCGGCCCTGGTTGGTCGTGCGGTGGCAGCCACTCGATGTGTCCCTTTCACATCGATGTTTCTCTCTCTCTGTCTCTTCCTCTCTCTCCCTCCCACTCTATCTGTACAAAAAATGGAAAAATGTCCTCGGGTGAGGATAAAAAAATATATATATATATTTGGTGTGTGTCCTTCCAGATTTTTTTAAATCTGTAAATACCTAAGTAACATGAATAGTACAAATACATATGCATACACATTTTCTAAAAAATTAGGCCATGCTATACATATTACTGCACAGATTACTTTTTTTATTTAATGAATATATTGTAAACATCTTTCTACTTAGGTCTACTAATAAGCTTAGAGGACATTATGCTAACAGTTGAGTGATATAGTATGAACTGCTGCTCTGATTGAATAGTTTGGATGTCACTGGGAAATGAAATACTCTGTTCTTTTATTTCTGTTCTCTTGCTTTCAGAACAGTAATAGTATTTAATGGTAGTTAACAATTGAGGTTATTGAGCATTGTCATGCTAGTCTCCCAAATATAATACTAATTATGTCAGCTGATATTTCTGAATGTCTTACTCTGTAGTTTAGAAATATATATATATATATATATATATATATAATTTAAGTTTACAGTATGTATTAGGTTATTATTAGGGAAGGTAGGTAACTCATATCATTTAAATTTTAAGTATTATGTATAACTATGACACATGCATTTATAAACTTTTGTGTTTATTTGACTCATGTTATACTCTGGACTCTCTCAGGTGCTATCTCCTCTGAAGAAATAATTAAATATGCACATAGGATTAGTGCAAGTAATGCTGTGTGCGCCCCACTGACCTGGGTTCCAGGTAAGAATGCTCCTCTTTTTCCTAGATGTGTATGATTTTGAAAATTCTTAACATGACTGTACACAAAAATAGGAAAAAATATTTAAATATAGAATGTATTTAAATATAGAATTATGTAACATCTGCTGCATGTTTTCACATCTTTAAGGTTTTACAAGTAAGAATATAGGTCATTGGTTTTATCAGTTTGGTTATCTACAAAGCAATTGCCACTAGGGATTGTGTTTGTTTATTTTTCAATAATATTTAAAAGCACAAGATAATATGTGATGATTCTAAAGCTATAGATTTATATGCCTGTAAAACCCAAGCTGGCTAGAAGCCAACATTTTCGAGTCATTAGGATTTCCACAAAGATTCCAGCCTGAAAAACAGACAATTCCAACTCTTAGGTGATAAAGCACTGAGTGCTCAACAGCAGACACACAGGACTGGGAAGAACTGCAGTAAACAGCAAAGGGAGTAAAAAGCTGCAACTATATTAATAGACAGTGGATGGAGATGGATAAGATGGAGACACTAAGGTAGAGCAGCAGTCTTTTGGGAGGAGTGGGAGATAGTTATCTCAATTTTAGTAATTCCTGATGGTATTTTGCCATACTAAAATAACTAAGGATAACTACATTGTTTGGGATGAATAATCTGGAGTTTGTGAGAAATATTACCAAAATGTTGGTCCAAATCTGGCCAAGTTTTTATCAACCCCAAACTGCTATTTATTATGCTTTTATGATTGGAAATAAAGATTACTGGCTCCTGATACTCCACTGGAAAGTTAAGGAATTAGTCGTTAAATGACAAGATGCAAGAGATTGGTTGCAAAATAGTTTTAATTTAGACAGTTCTTTCTGTAAGCATTCAGTTCTTTCTCTCAGAAAAAAAAGTGTGTCATGATTTGTTCTCCCTCAGAGTGTATATCATTATTATTTTCATACTAAATAATGCAGTTAAGTTAGAAGCATCAAGATCATTTTAACTTTTTTAATTTGTCATTTGGGATGTTTGCTAAAATGACAAACTTTTCTCATTTTTTTCATATACAAAATAGTATATTATGGGGAAGATTCAAAGAAATAAGTATTTATCCTCTTAGTAACAATTGATAAGATGACCTTATATTTCAGGATTGAAAGTGTAACTTGCATTTTTTATAGTGTACCAATCGAATTAAAAGTCATCTGTTTTGAGTTTGGGTTTTCTTTTGTTTTTGTGTTCTTTTTAAAAGAATTTTTCTTCTTATTATTTTTTTAGGGGACCCAAGGAGACCATACCCAACTGATTTAGAGATGAGAAGTGGATTATTGGGTCAGATGAACAATCCTTCCACTAATGGTGTGAATGGTCATTTACCTGGGGATGCACTTGCAGCAGGCAGATTGCCAGGTAATAATTAAAAGAATGCTTTCAGGCAGACCAAAGTTTTGGCTCTTGAACAAGTTTGAGGTACCAGACCCAATTCATTTTAATAGCTAGGTTTCTGCCTATTTATTCTACTCTCTATTTTAAAGACTGTTCTGGATGGTGGTTATGAAATTAGAATAAACTGACTTTTCTCTCATTTGTTAATATGCCATTTTCCTCAGGCATTGGGCCTTTTATTGTTTTTATTGTTCTAAACATAGCTTTTTAAAATTGTGAAACATACTGTATAAACAGAGTAAGAAATACATATGCTCACTTTAAAGTTTATAAAGTGAATATATTCCTGAAAAACCCCCAAGTTAACAAAATGAATAACAAAGCTTTTTTAAGCTTTTAATAACTTGATAAAATAGCATTTTTGTGAGTCTTGGTTTATTCTGAGCTTCAGCCTTCCTAGAGTTTTGCATATAGGTTTGTGCTATTTCTGTATGTTATTTTATGTTTTCTATGTTTCGTCTTTTGTAGAAGTAACTTGTTTTGATTTGATAGAACATTTAAAAAGTTTAAAAGAAAAGAAAGGAGAAAACTACCCTTTTCATCAATCACTTTTTTTTTTTTTTTTGATACGTTGCCCCTAGCGGGAACCGAACCCAGGACTCTCTGGTCCACAGGCCAATGCTCCAACCACTGAGCCAAACCGGCCAGGGCTCATCAATCACTTTTCATATTTTACCTATTTCATTGTTTTCCTCTATATTGTTTGCATTGTTAAAAATGTGCTCTAGCTAATGCTTTTTTTTGTTTAACATCTCATTGTAAGGATGTCCCTGTGTTACTAAAATGCTTTGCAAACATCATTTTTGTTAATTATCTGAAGTACAAACTGGGAACTCACTGTGCCTTCATTTCGCTGTATATCTCCTCATTTTTCTCTTTGTGATTGTACCATATCATATGCCAGTCAGGATCTATTCAGGAGGCAGAAACCACACCAGAAATGTGGACAAGGAAAATTTAAAGAATTATTACTTAGTGTAGTAACAAGATACTATCTACTAGAGGAATAACAGATATGGGGAGCAGTTACTACATCTAGGAGCAAGGCAGAGTACCCAAGCTTCCTTCTCACCAACATCCCAAGGCCTTTGTTTATATCATGGTGTCCTCGGTAGAGAGGTATAGCTGTGGCCCACTAGATGGCAGAGAAATTAGATGAGGTGTCACAGGCCAGAGCTGGCAAACAGGAAATTACCCACTAGAATTCCAGCAAGACTTGCTGGAAAGCCATCCTTTGGGGTAGCAGTGAAATTTACTGGGAAACCATCCTATGGGATGCCACTGAAACAGGCTAGGAGATGAGCACCACTTGTCCTGAGCACCAACCAGGCACCACAAGAGTAAGAAGGAAAGCATGGGATCCAGGAAGAGAAACCAGTTCCTCTGGTGGAGTCCCCCAATGCCCTCTACTGACAAAGCTTAACAGTTTAGCTGCCAACAAGGGAGAAATGTGCATCCAGGGAGAAGAGTGGATTTGAAGCCTAAAAGGCAGTTTAACTTGTAATATGTAGTATAGTATACATTAACTATGTATAATATATGTAAAGAATAGAGAGAGAATAACATATATCTTCTAATAGACAGGGTGGGGCAAAAGTAGGTTTACAGTTATTCGAATGGAAAACAATACAATAATAATACAAGAATAAACTTTTGCATACTCACACTGTAAACCTACTTCTGCCTCATCTTGTGTGTGTGTGTATATATATATATATATTTATAACATAGATATAGGAAATACGTGATTGGTGTGAATGTTTTGCAAAAGAAAAATTAACAATTGACTGATGAATAGTTACTTATATAAAGCATGGTTTAAAAAAAATAAGGTTCTAGTTACTAAAACATTACTGTCTTCTTGATAAATTTGATGTCATTAATTTGGCCAAATGTGTATTTTGATTTCTAGCCTTTAAAAAAATAGCTATTTTAAAGTATTTGCATGGAAGGAAGAGTAATCTAGAAGTAAATAATTACTAGTAGAAGTTTTCTTATATTTGCTTCTTTCTTTTCCCCAGATGTCCTTGCTCCACAGTATCCCTGGCAGTCAAATGATATGGCAATGAATATGTTACCACCAAATCACAGTAATGACTTTTTGTTGGAACCTCCTGGGCATAATAAAGAAAATGAAGATGATGTAGAGGTTATGTCAACAGACTCCTCAAGCAGTAGTAGTGACTCTGATTGAAAAAAACATACAGTGAATACTATAGAATTCTGTTTCTTAAACAGTAGCAAACCTGTAAAAATAGTCAGGTTATATTGGTCGTAGGGGAACTGTGCAGCCCATTTAAAATCACAGTGGACTTTCTTTTTAAGACCTAAAATCATGATTTTAGTTCTAAACCATTTGGTAAATATTTACAGAATAATCAGAATTTCGGGGGGAAATTACTCAGTTCATTGCTGTCTTACCCTGTTCTAATCCAGCATGTTGGATTTGTATGTAGTAGTTCTGGAAATAAGGTTTTGGGGAAATGACCCATGAACGTATCACTAATAGGCCTCCTGGAATTAGAAAATGTTTTTAAAAGGCAGCAGATCACTGAATGTGCATCATATCAAAATATTAAAAACCTTACTGAGAGTGAAGGTTGTTAGCTTCTGTCACAGGACCAGAAGTTTCTCAATTTGCACTATTTGTAATTATTGTAACTTTTGTAAATAAACTAACTTGTTTATACTTTTTTATGCTCATTTTTTAATTTAAACTACCTTTATTGTAGTTTAGAAAATTATTTCTGTAAATCCAGTTGCATTTTATACATTCTTAAGTAGAATTCTGGAGTGTGAATGATGATGTAATAATGGTAGGTTTCTCAAAGGTCCAGAGTGCCATTCTTTTAGGAAGAAAAAGAATGAAGTGTTTTTTTTGTTTTTTTAATAATGTTTTAAACTTTACCATAATAATGTCTGATCTTAAGAATAAAAAATATGCCCTGGCGGGTTTGGCTCAGCGGTAGAGCTCTGGCCCCCAAACCAGATAGTCACAGGTTCGATTCAGGTCAAGGGCACATACCTAGATTGCGGTTCATCCCCAGCCCTGGTCTGGGTGGTGCGGAAGGCAACCAGTCGATGTCTCTCTCTCTCTCTCTCTCTCTCTCTCTCTCTCTCTCTCTCTCTGCCCCCTCCCTCCCTCCTTCTCTCCTTTTCCATTTCTCTCCCTCCCGTTCTATCTGAAGATAAATAGAAAAATATCCTCAGGTGAGGATTAAAAAAGAAAAAAAAAAGAATGAAAATATTTTAGAAGTAAAACACTGTCTGCCTTCACCTTCCTTATTGCAGTTCCCAGAAAGAATAACTTTAAACCACTTTCTACTTCTGGTGGTTAACCTCCATGTTTAAATGATATGCTTATCAATTACATTTTGATTTATCAGTTATAGAAAATGTACCTTTCACATTTTTTTCCTGATTACAAAAGTAATAGGAACAGTTAGCAAATATAGTAAAGCACACAAAAAAAGATAAAATTGTTAACATTCTACTCAGAGATTACATCAATATTCTGGCATAGATTTTTATCTTTTTTTTTTTTTTAATCCTCACCCGAGGACATTTTTCGATATTTTGTTCAGATAGAGTGGGAGGGAGAGAGAGAGAGAAACATCGATGTGAAAGCGACACATCGAGTGGTTGCCATCCACACGACCCAACCAGGGCCGGGGACAAACTGCAACCAAGGTACGTGCCCTTAGCGGGAACCGAACCCGGGTCTCTCCGGACCGCAGGCCGACGCTCTAACCGCTGAGCCAAACCGGCCAGGGCTAGATTTTTATCTTTTAAACAAATCTACATATACATTATTTTAATGAGGATAAAATGTGCATTTCCTGAGCTGCTACTATATTTTTAGTTAGTAATTCATATAGACTCCCAATAAAGTGAGAATTCAATTTTTTAACCTTTTTTGCCCTTTTGGTTGTTTAAATGAAACATGATCCCTGAAGAAAAATATTTGTCTTTCAACTTTTGCAAGTTCCCAGGAACAAAATTAAGCTATTTAGATTGGTATCTTGAATAATATATACATGAAATAAGTAACCTAGAATTCTAGCAAACTAAATATTTTATCTCACAGTTCAGTGTTTTTACCTTTATATTAATGTGAATTTGCTTTAATGACATGCCAGAATATGTAAATTATAGTCATTACATAGTATCCATTACACAATCAATATAGTAGAATATTAGCTGGCTAATTTTAAATAAATTATACCACAGCTAAGGAAAAGAGAGGGTGGAGAGAAATGAAGCAAACACAGCAAAATTTTGGTGCTTGTTGAATCTGGGTGTGGAATCTATGGAAGTTTATTGAACTGTTTTATACTGGTGTGTTTGAAAATTTTCATGTTAAAAAAAATATTTTGTTTTCTATATCAAAAGTTCCTCTCATATCCTGTTGTAAATTGCCAAGGAATGGAAAAGTTTGAACTCAGTTCTAAAAGATGGCTTTGATGCTGCCAAAGCTCCAATTTGAGGATGCCAGGCATGGACAGAGTCAATGGGAAACCATTATGGCAAATGTTTATTGATTCTATTGCAGTTCTGTAAGCTGTGAGATTTAGGCCACCTGTTAGTTTAGTTTGCTAGGGCTGCCATAACAAGATAACAGACTAGTGGCTTAAACAACAAATTTATTTTTACACAGTTCCAGAGGCTAGAACTGTGTGAAACCTCCCAAGGCGTGGGAGGTTTAGCAAGTCTCTCCTTGGCTTGCAGATGGTCACCTGCTGTGTCTTCACATGGCCTTTTCTCTGCACCCCAGAGCCGTGATGTCTCTCTCTTGAGTGTCCAGATTTCCTCTTTTCATAAGGACAACAGTCAGATTGGATTAAGATCCACCCTAATGGTTTCATTTTAACTTAATCATTCTCTTAAAGGTCTTTTCAAACACAGTCACATTCTGAAATACTGGGAGTTAGGGTCTCAACATACAAATTTGGGGGGGAGGGACCATATTCAGCCTAAGAGCCTGTGTAAACGATTAACTAAATGTATAGTGAATGTTTATCCTAGTGAGATATTTGCTTTTTCTTTTATCCTCACCTGAGGACATTTTTGCATTTATCTTCAGATAGAGAGGGAGGGAAAGAGGAAGAGAGAGAGAGAAACATCGATGTGAGAGAGATACATCGAGTGGTTGCTACCCACATGCCCTGGTTGGGGCTGGGGACAAACTGCAACCAAGGTATGTGCCCTTAGCAGGAACCGAACCCAGACTCTCTGGTCCGCGGGCTGATGCTCTAACCACTGAGCAAAACCAGCCAGGACTATATTTGTTTTTTATTTTAATTTGATATATATGTTTGCATGTTGAGATCCCTTGTATACTAATATATATAATACACTTAAGACCGTTTTAACTGAATTTGTTTAATATTTCAGTGAACAATTTTTGTTGTGTGTCTTCAATTTGAACAGTTTTTCAGCAGTTTCTTTTCCTTTCTTTCTTTCTTTATCCTCACCCAAGATACTTTCTCCACTGATTTTTAAAGAGAATGGGAGGAAAGGAGGGAGGGGGAAAGATACAGAGACAGAGAGAGAAGAGAGAGAGAGAAACATCGATGTGAGAGAGACACATCGATTGGTTGCCTCCCACACACACTGACAGGAGCAGGGATCATACCTGGAGCACAGGTACATGCCCTTGACCAAGAATCAAACCCATAATCCTTGGGTGCATAGACTGATGCTTTAACCCCTGAGCCACACTAGCCAGGGCTTTCAGCAATTTTTGTAAGACCAAATCTTCAACCTGATACATCTCTCTGATTAGAATGTTTGTATGGGGAAATGATTTTCTTAGAAACAACTTGACCTTAAGGCCATTTAAAGGAGTTTTGTTGCCACAAAGCAGATACTTCTTATATTTCTTAGGGCATATTTGCCCCCAAATCTTTTGCTGAAACCTCTTTGTCTTACTTACTTTACTTTCTGATATATAGAATCAAATATTAGCATTAGAGATCATATGGCATAGTTTCTATTTCTCTTCATCTCCCATTGACTGATGCTGGCTGCTGTGTTGGTCTTCTTGGGCCAATCAGGTCAGTCTGTGAGAAGGAATATTTGCCATACCAGATGTAGTATTGTGCTCCCATAGCCATCTCCCCACCTTTTCCCCCCGGCTTCCTGTCTTTTCCTTCCTCATATGTTTGAGCACCTTCTAGGTGCTGAGGATACACCTAGCCTTCCTGGACTTTATGAGGTAGGGGGGCAGAGGGAGAGACAGATAATAAGGACATAAACAAATGAATAAAATAAGTCCAGATATGCTAAGTATAATAAAATTAAAGGGACCAAGTACTAAATCTAACACATGTAAAACCCTTGCTTCCCAAGAAGGTAAAAAATGCCTCCTAAGAGTTGTGTCAGGGGTCAGAAGGGTATTAAAAGACACCCTTCTGGGAGAGGTGGGGGAGGGGGATGGTGAAGAGGGACCCCTGCAATAATGTCAACATTAAAAATGTAAAAATAAATTGAAAAAAAGACAAATACATATTTGAGGGTTAATTTTGAAATATGATTGAAGAACAAAAATGTTATAAATGTTATAATCAAACACATGGGTCTCTCATGAAGTGTAATTCAAAGTTTGCATAAATTTTTAAACAAAAATAAATGTCATGCTTTTGGATTGCTGCTATTCTCATTTAAAAATTCATTCTTTGATCCTGGAGTACTGGAAGGAAAAGCCTGAGACTCAATTACATGGTGCATATATCAAAATAAGCAAGTTCGACCCTCTTTGAGAGCTATTGTGTTTGATAGTCTGAGAAGAGAACCATGTTTGTATCCCAGGAATAAAAGCCACTTGATCATGGTGTATGATCTTTTAAATGTATGCTGAATTCAGTTTGCTAATATTTTGTTGAGGATTTTTGCATTTCTGTGGTGTCAATTCTCACTTTTCCTCTTTAATTTGGTATTTATTTATTTGGTTAAACATTTATCAATCTTGTTGAGTCCAGTTAAACATTTATTAATCTTGTTTATCTTTTCAAAGAATGAGCTCTTTGTTTTATTGATCTTTTGTATTTTTTTTTAGATGTTATTTTATTTATTTCCCCTCTGATCTTTATTATTTCCATCCTACTCACTTTAGGTTTTGTTTGTTGTTCGTCATCCTCCTCATCTTCAGCTGCCTCAGTCTCCTCATCTTCATCTCCATCCTCTTCCTCACCATCACCTTCGTCCTCTTTCTCCTCCTCCTCCACTCCTTCCTCTTTATCTACCTCATTGTCAGCCTCCTGCTCCCCATTTTCCTTATTAGCGTTCCCATTAGCAGGTGCATTTTCCCATTAGCGTTCCATTCTCTGCCTCCTCCACAACTTCCTTCTTCTCCTTTAAGTCCTTGGTGGTGATCTTAGAGCTGGTGTCCATGGCCGCATCTGATGTGGTGGGCATGCCGGTGATCCGATGCAGTGGATTTAAAAAAAAAAGGAGTGAGAGTTCTAAGACTCTGGCAAAGAAGCTGCCAGAATCCGCGGCTGTGGAGGAGGTGCGCGGTGGAGGCGACTGCAGTGAGCAGAGAGGCGGCCACAGGAACAATGCAAAGATGGCTTTTCAGAGCAGCTAGTGTACAAGTTGTATCTTCTTGTCGGACTGATACCTTTATCATAATGTAG